TATGGATTTTAAAGGAGTTTTACAGGCTGATAAGGTGCTTCTTTGTGAGAGCTGGGCTTTTGATCAAACTTCTCATGGTAGTTAGCATTGCTTTTTCACTCCGGGTGGATAATATGAACTAGGAGCCAGGAGAAGAGCTGGTTTTGAACTGCAGCACCACGCTGTAGGTTGGCATCCCTGGACCCACGTCGTTTTTTAGTGAGGAGGTGCTGCTGGCTCTGAGTCTTCTTTCTTGTGCTTTGGAGTCCAGCGTGCTAACTCACTGGCAACTGATGTAGGGCCACTCGTGCTCTTCATCAGCGAGTGATATGGTCGTTTCTGTCATCCCACACACCCTTAACTACCCGCACCTACTTGGACTGAGCTACTGCATCCACCTCTGGTTCATTCATTGAACAAATCCCGTGTGTATCAAGTGCCAGTCCTAGGACTACAGAGGTGACAGAAATCCTTGCCTTCAGGTCCAGATGGTGGCACAGTGGTAAAATGTGACACTTCTGTGTTAAAGAGTTCCTTATGGAAAGGTTGCCAGTTCACACCCAGAGACCCCCTTAAGTATGTCAGGCATGTGTGTGCCCATGATCCAGACTGGCTGGGGGTGGATTGTGGCATTAAGATCCTATCAGGGGTGCTGTATCTCTCTTCTCTCACACATGGAATAAATGAACTAAAAGAAAAAGAAAAGGAAAAAAAAATCCTGCCTTTGTGGAGCTTGCCTTCTAGCGACCCACATGATGACCCGTCTTCAGGTATAGGAGATGTTCCATGGGGTAGCCACCCTCCTGTCAGTTGGCTTCGCACCTTCCCTCCTCGCACTCTGCCTGATGTCCGAGTCTCCATTTTCCTACCAGGCTCTTGCAGATAAACTGCCGTTCAAGTCCTGTTACCGGTAGGCTTCCTTCAGCCTGGCACTCTAACTTTACCCCCTCAGTCCTTTCCTGTGAAACTTTCTGCCACGCCTGGAATTCACCTTGCTCTGGTCCTTTCTGGAATTCCTTTCCTCCTGCGTACCTCTCAGGTTGCACCTACTTCGTTAGACCCCTGCAGGTGCCCGGCAGTTGTACCCCTGTCTGTCCTTCATCAGCCCACACCACAGTGCACACTGTGACCTCTTTCTGTCCTCTTGCTCCTATCTAGGTAGAGCTGGTTTTTCAGGTGTGTGGAATAATTTTCCTGTCTAGATTCTGAGATTTTTGTTGTAGGGCATGTATGTGTGCCAGAGACAGAGAGAGACAGAGAGACAGAAGGCGAGAAATCACCCCTCAGGGAGGGTAGCCGTGCCATAATCCTTTCTCCTCTCAGGATTTTGGGCATGCATACACACGTATCTGGCGTGAGTTTTAAGCCTCCAGGGCTGGGACTTGAACTGCAGTTGACTATGTGGGAGTCCAGCAATGTAACCTTTATGCCATCTGCTGGTCCCAAGACTGCTAACTCTTGCAGAACTAGCTTACATGTGCACTTTGATACACAGGGGAAGGTAGGTAAGAGGACCAGCAGCTGCTCGGCGGTGAGGGGCATGGGCAGTGCCACCTACTTGTGGCAGTGACCTGTGTCATCTCTTACTGCAGATTTGGAGCTGCTTGGCTGGTCGGCCTAAACCTGGCTGCCTAGTTGTGTTTTACAGCAGAATGGCTGCAGATTGTCCATGTCCTTTTTTTCTGACTTTCATCTCTCCTACACCAGAGGCCTGTGTGCATCTCAGGGATTAGACCAGATTCTTTCCTTTACTCAGGAGTACGAAGGGCTTGTGCGTGGGGAGTGCCTGGCCAGTACTGGTGGAGTGGCTTGGTCCGGCTGCAGCAGCCTGTGGGAGACGCAGTGTGAGCCTTCCGCACTTGTGCTGTTCCAGCAGGCCAAGGGGCCATTTGGGGTGGGAGGGAGGTCCTGGGTATCGTGGAAAGGTTAGACTTTGGAAGATGAAGGTCTGTCGTTGCCCTACTCTGAGCCTAGGGTTTTCTCTTGGGGTTGCTAAAGTGGACCAAGGGCCTAAAGATTTCCCTTGGCAGTATGCCTTTCTCTGAATAAAGTCATTTATTTGAAAATAAGTAGCAGAGCAGATAGCCTATTAATTTTTTTAAAGTAGTTATTTATATAATTTTATTTATCATTGTTATTATTTTTTAATTTGACCAGAGAGAGACAGAAAAAGGAAAGGAGAGAAAGCAAGCTGCCAGGTCCAGGACTCAGGCTGAAGGTGGCCCCATGGGAATCCAGCACCTTAACCATTGTGCACCTGCTGGCCCTGGATAGCATGTTAATTAACAATACTGTATGTGGGACTCAATTTTATGTGTATTTCTGTAGAGCAGCCCCCAAAAATTCTCTGTCAACTCAGAGTGGAGAAAAAGGAAATTCAGCATAGGGACAAAGGTAATACTAACACATGTGATGCTTTTTTGTTGGCTTTTCTTCTTAACCTATTGCTTTTTAAAAAAAATAAGAATTATTTATTTATTTTAATTTGACCAGAGAAGGATGGAACGAGAGAGAGAGAGGGAAAGCGAGAAAACAAGCCACCAGGTCCAGGACCCGAACTGCAGTCGGCCACGTGGGTGTCCAGCGCCCTTAGCCACCACACCACCTGCCGCCCCCCCTCGCCCCCCCACGTTCTACTTTAATTAGCACCGTGAAACTTATGTTTTATCACATTAAGAGCAAAGCAGGGTTTGCATAGAGGAATAAGCACATACTAGTACAAGAGAACGTGGCACACAGGGCTGTCCTGAGGTCAGGAGTCAGTTTATCTCTGGCTTCCCATTTATCCCATCAGCAAAAGAAGAGCAGGCTCAGGATTGATGTGTCCCGTGATCTCGTTTAGCTGTGAATTCTGTGCCATTTGTTGCTCAGTGAAAGAGCAGAACAGCATCTTGCGATAGCATAGCCCTTGGAATCAGACCTCGGTTGGGTTCCTTTTCAGTCCCTTAATAGCTGAATGACCTTCCGCTGCTACAGCTGATTACCTAATTTATGTAATTCACTTTTCTTCCCTGGAACATGGAAATAATGTACCTAATAAACTTGTAAGAATCAAGAGTTAGTGCTTGGGACCAGCTGATGGCATAATAGTTACATTGCTGGACTCCCACATGTCTGACTGCTTGAGTCCTGGTCCTGGCAGCTTGAAACTCTTGCTGGGCATGTGTGTATATGTGCCCAAAATCCCAAGAGGAGAATGGGGGAGAAGGGATTGCAACGTGACCATCCCCCGGGGGATGATTTCTTGCTTTATATCTCTCTGTCTCTCCAAGGGAGTGCACATGCCTATAGCAAATCTCTCTTTTAAAAAATAGAAAGAGTTGGGAGCCAGCAGGTGGCATGGTGGTTAAGGCGCTGGACACTCCCACATGGCCAACTATGGTTCAAGTCCTGGACCTGGTGGCTTGCTTTCTCACTTTTTTTTTTTTTTCTTTTTTTGGAGAGGTTTTGCTATAGGGCGCGTGCGCTCGCCAGACAGACAGAGAGAGACAGAGAGACAGAAAGCAGGAAATCACCCCCCAGGGGGGATGGCCACGCCGCAATCCCTTCTCCTCCATTCTCCTCTCGGGATCTTGGGCACGCACGCACACGCGCCCGGGTCTGGGACTCGAACCGCGGTCGACTACATGGTAGTCCAGCGACATAGCCATTATGTTAACTGTTGGTCCCAGCTTTCTCACTTTCTTTCTCTCTCTCTTTCTGTCTCTCTCTGGTCAAATTAAAAATGAATAAATAAACTTAAATAATTCTTTAAAAAATAAAAAGAGTTAATGCTTGTGAGTCCTTACTGTAGGTCTTGGCAGATTGTAAGTAGTATTGGGTTGTCAGAAAGTCATGACGTATTTTTCTGTTTCTACGCAAAAATGCACCATGGCTTTTATGACAAGCTCACATTTTCACAGAGCATCGTCTCTCCCTGTTCAGGACATAGCTCAACTCCCGTCACAGCCCTGTGAGCTCGAGACAGTGGGTGATGGCAGCTTGACTTTACACAGAGAGAGAGCCAGACTTCACAGCAGCGTGGCACAGCCAGGACGTGGGGCTGGGTCGTCCAGGCCAGAGGTGGCAGGGCCGGGAGAAGAGAGTTCCTGGCTGCCAGGAATCTCAGGGCAAAGCCGGTGGGAGAGGGGTCGTCGCTGGACTCCTACAGGGCCACCTTGGAGATGGGCCTGAGCTTGGGAGAGTGGCTAGAATGTGTTGAATTGGCTCAGCAGTCTCTTCTCTTCTGTCAGTTCCACCTCTGCCTTTGCCACCAGGGCAGAGAGAAGCTGTCATGTGACCTTCCATGTTCCCATGTGGCCAGTTCTTAGGAGAAGGGTCCTTAGGAAAGGTGGGTGGGCCATAGTCGTGGTGTGAGTGTGCTGTGGACAGAGCAGGCTGCCTCTCCTCAGCCCTGAACAACCTTCTTCCCTATCCTCTCAGTTCTTGGTCTGGGCCTTAAAAGCCTTGAGAGTTGGGCATCGGTGCCCCTAGAGTTCCTCAGTGAGTGGACCCCCCAGCCCTAAGACACCAGTCAGGAGGTCTGTGGATGTTAGTTGAACGAGGGTCTTTTGTCCAGACCCGTGCCTCCAGGTTGGTGTGTGTGCACACTGTCCAAGACAGTGAGCACTCGAGGTGTGCGAGCCCTGGTTTCTGACGTGGCCCGACCTCTCCTTCTTGCCCCTGTCCTGTCTAGGTCATTCCTGGCACATGCTGCAAGCCTTTCCTCACTGACGGGGACACTGTAGGTCACCTCTTTGCACTGAGTTCCCCTTCTTCCTGAGCCTGCACAGCCTGGGCTTTGTAGAAGGGACTGCAGCCCTGCGAGGCCCTGCCAGGGTTGTTCACTCCTGGCCACCCAGAGGAGGGGCCCCATTACTGAGCAGAGTTCCCTGGTGGTCTAGGGGACAAGCTGTGGTTATGGGTCTGGACTTGCTCCCGAGCCCTGGAGGTTGCCACCGCTGTGTGTGTGTGTGTGTGTGTGTGTGTGTGTGTGTGTGCAGCTTATGGTTCACTGGTCTACATTCTTGTTCTTTCTCTAGTTCGTCTTGAAGAATTATGGAGAGAACCCAGAAGCCTACAATGAGGAGCTGAAGAAGCTGGAGTTGCTCAGACAGGTAGAGGGTAGTATTTTTATGCAGGTGTGAACAGGATTGGTGTGATGAGATAAAGAAGCCACTTCGAACTGTAGTCTTACTTGGACTTAGTATTTTTTCCTTTGCAAAGCAGTGATATTAATGATAGAAAAATGTGAAAATACTGAAAAACAAAGTCTTAAAAATCCTTTTAAGGATTTTTATGTATATAAGTATATACATATATGTATATATATAAGTATATACATATATGTATGTATACATATATGTGTATATATATAAGTATATACATATATGTATGTATAAGTATATTTATATATATACACACACACACTTATATGTATTTTTCTTTAAGAATTATTTTATTTTTCTTTCTTCTTTCTTTCCTTCCTTCCTATCTTTCTTTAAATTTGACCAGAGGAGGGACAGTGTGTGTGTGTATGTGTGTGTGAGAGAGAGAGAGCGCGAGAGAAAGCAAATTGCCGGGTCTGAGATTTGAACCATGTTTGGCCATGAGGGAATCCAGCGCCCTTATCCACCACACCTTCTGCCAGCCCCAATGTATATGTATTTTTAAAAACAGTAGAATCGGGCTAGCAGATGATGTAGCATTCCCACATGGCTGATCATAGTTTGAATCCTGGACCTGGTGGCTTGAAATTCCTGTCAGGCACTTGTGTGTGTATGCTCAAGGTCCTGGGAGGAGAGTAGAGGAGAAGGGATTGTGGTGTGGCCATATCCCCTGGAAGGTGATTTCTCACTTTCCCTCTCCCTGTCTTTTGTCTCTCTACAACTAGCATACGTGCCCTAAGGGAGAAACCTCTAAAAACAAAAACAAAACACAGTAGCAGCATACTGTTTCATCACTCATAGCCCGCTTTCTTTTTTTTCTTTTCTTTTTTTTTTTTTTGAGACTTTTTTTTGCTATAGGGTGCATGCGCTCGTCAGAGAGACAGAGAGAGACAGAAAGTGGGAAATCACCCTCCAGGGGATATGGCCACGCCACAATCCCTTCTCCTCCTTTCTCCTCTCGGGATCTTAGGCACGCACGCTCATGTGCCCTGCATGAGTTTAAGTTACTGGGTCTGGGACTCGAACCGCGGTCAACTACATGGGAGTCCAGCGACTTAGCCATTACGCCAACTGCTGGTCCCAGCCTACTTTCTTTAATAGCATATTATGAATGATTCTGTGTCAGTGAACATAAGACTGTTAGACTGTTTTTTTGTTTTGTTTTGTTTTTTTGAGAGATTTTCCCTATAGAGCATGTGTGCTCACTATAGAGACAGAAAGTGAGAAATCATCCCCAAGGGGGGATAACCACACCGCAATCCCTTCTTCATTCTCCTCTCAGGATCTTGGGCATACATGTATACACACCTGGCATGAGTTTAAGCCACTGGGTCCGGGACTTGAACCGTAATCAACTACATGGGAGTCCAGTGATGCAACCATACCCATTACACTCTCTGCTTGTCCCCCCATTACACAATTCCTTTTTTTTTTTTTTTTTTTAGAATTGTTTTATTTAACTTTATTATTTTTTTAATTTGAACAGAGAGGAACAGAGAGAGAGAAAGCAAGCCGTAAAATCTGGGACTCTAACTTTGGTCGGCCATGTGGGAGTCCAGCGCCCTTAACCACCATGCCACCTGCCGGCCCTAACCCCATTGCTCAATTCTTTTTTTTTTTTAAGGTTTATTTATTTAATTTTTATTTATTTATTTATTTTTCACATCAATTTTGCCAGAGAAGGACACAGAAAGCAAGAGAGAGAAAGCAAGCTGCCAGGTCCAGGACTTGAATCTTTGTCAGCCATGTGGGAATTCTAACACCTGAACCACCATGCCACCTGCTGACCCTTTTTTTTTTTTTTTTTTCCAAGATTTATTTATTTCTTCTTTTTTTTTCCACATGAGTTTAGCCAGAGAAAGACAGAGATAGAGAGAGAAAGCAAGCCAATTGCTCAATTCTAATCACAGCCTGGGTGGCTTGAAAAACATGACAGGCACATACACGTGTGTGCCCCAAATCCCAACAGGGTGGAGAAATGGAGAAGGGGTTGTGGCATGGCCCCTCCTCGTCGGGGTACTTTCCCCGTTTCCCTACCCTTTTTCTCTGGCGATCGCATGTGCCCTGTATGGTGTAACTTTCTTACTGATTCATAGGGCTCATTCATACGTTGACGAGCATGCTGCTTTCTCAAATAATATAGTTATTTTTCTCAGTTCATTGTTTTGGTTTATTCTGTTTCTAATATAGCCTATGCAAGTTTCACATTTAAATGTTTATTAATTGGGTCCAGCTCATCTTTCCCTTTATAGTATCTGCCTTTGAAAGGCACTTAGAAAGCCTTCTTCACCAATAAAATGTAAGTGACCACTGATGTTCTTCCTCTAGTACTCGAAGGTTTTGTGTCTTACTGAAATTGTAATCTACATGGCGTTTACTTAGGTACGTGATCGGTCAGGGAGGGCTCAAAACATTTTACTGTCTGTAAGACTGGTTCTGTTTGTAACTTTCTTTTACAAGTTTTCTGACTGTTCTCACTTGAACTTTCCAAGTGTGAACTGAGAATGTTTTCGTCAGTTTTCCACGGAAGTGTTAGTCAACATCCTTATGAGGTTGCCCTCCTCTCTAGGAGCAGGGCGTCTCATTTCTTCAGATTTTCTTTTTGGACTTGTCAGGAAGTTCCGTGACTTTCTTCATGCAGGTTTTGTATAAACTTATTCTCTGGATTTTTGTCGTTGCTGTTGAGTGTTTGTTCCCCATCTTCCTTTATTTTTTCCACCCGTTACGGTTGGTACAGAGAAAAGCAACTGAAGATGTCTTCTGTTAGCTCTCTCGTGTGTGCGATGGAATTGCAGTTTGCTCTCAGTACACAGCCACACCATGCGCACATAACTCCGCGTCCCTTCCCAGCAGCCGCGCCACTTGTGAGGTATGTTCAGAGCAGTGTTAATGACCATGACAACGTCATCTGTGGCTGTCTCTGGCGAGTGGGTGTCAGCGTTGTGGACAGTGCGGGCAGTTGTGCTGATCGAGGTGGCCTGCCCTGTGCTGGGAAGGAGCCCCTCGTGGCCCTCATCTCAGCAGGTACTGGGGGTCTGCACAGTCACTCACTTTGTTCCTGTGAATGAACAAAGCATGACAACTGTAGCAGACATAGGAAATCAGAGAAGTATGAAGAACAGAACAGCTCTGCCCAGAAACAGCCTCCGTGGGTGTACACGTTCTATTTCAGAGTTAGCAGGTAAAATAATGTTGCCAGAGAATTATTAGATTGAACCCATTTGTTGATAAAGATTTGGTTAGAGTTGGGCCAGCCAGGTGGCATGGTGGTTAAGGCAGCTGGATCCCACATGGCTGGCCTTGTGGTTCAAGTTCTGGACCTGGTACCCTGCAAAACATGCCAGGCACCCGTGCGTGTATGACAGAAGTCTCCACATGAGAAGGGATCATGGTGTGGTAATTCCCCTTCAGGGATGTCTTCTCACTTTCTCTCTCTCTTTCTCTCTTTCTGGTAAGTGCATGCACCTTATAGCGAAAAAAAAGATTGGGTTAGGGCTGAGACCGTGGTGCCAGCAGTAAGGCTTACCACTCTACAACATAGACCCACGAAAGAAGGTCACTGGCTCACACCTGGAGTCCTTCCTGAGCATGCCAGTCATGTGGACAGCTGTGATCCAGGTTGGTGAAAGCTGGGGGTGGCGCTGAGACCCTGTCAGGTGCAGTGTTTCTCTTTCACTCGCTCATTGAAGTAGTAAATATATTGAAACATTGTCTTTAGCCTTTCTTAACCTGTGCCTCTTAGCAATAACCAATAACTAAATGCTATTTCTGAATTAATATTATGAAAACAATTTTTTACTCCCCTCCCCCCACAGAGGTTTTTCCTGTGGGGCATGTGCGCTTACCAGAAAGACAGAGAGAGAGAAAGCAAGAAATCACCCCCCAGGGAGGATGGCCACACCACAATTCCTTCTCCTCCATTCTCCTCTTGGAATCTTGGGCACGCACGCACACGCACCCAGCATGAGTTTAAGCCACTGGATCCGGGACTCGAACTGCATTTGACTACATGGGAGTCCAGTGACATAGCCATTATGCCAACTGCTGGTTTTTTAAAGATAAAAATTACATACTAATTTCAGTCTCAATCCTAAAACAAACAGGACTGAGAGTTACACTTCATGCACCTCCTGTACGTTCTGGAGTTCCCAGGGTGCGTCGTTCTGGCATTGACAGACACTTGCCGAGTTCTCATACATCGCAGGTGCTCCCCTAGGCCCTGTGGATGCACTGGTGAGCAAAACAAAATTCCTTTGGACTTCGATGGAAGTTTAAGGATTCTTTGAGGGGCTGGGTAGTCGCTCAGCAGTAACACAGCTAGACCTTATGGAAAGGGTCCTGGGTTTGTGCCCCAGGACTTTCTGAGGATGCTGGCCATGAGTGGATTTGTGCCTGTGATCCTGTCCAGCTGAGACTAGGGGTGCCTGTCTGTCGCTTTCTCATGGAATAAAGAAATAAACTTATAAATTAAAAAAAAAAAAAAAGATTTCTTGAACAAAAAGGCACTAGGCCAGGCCTCTGCTGGCAGGGTCCAGGACTGGGGGCCGTAATCCACAGAACAGATGCCCAGTGAATGAGGCTGTATGAAGGATCCAGAGCGTGGTGCTGCAGCAGTGGCTGCAGAGGTCGGATTTCATTGAGGCTTTTGTTCTTTGGTTTCCAGTGGTTTATGCAGTGCCTGTCTCAGCCTCCTGAGATGGCATGTTCCCACCTGGTGGTCCACATGCAGCGGACCATCACAGAGACTGTTTGAGTGGAAGGTGTGCAAACCACATCTGAAGGAGTCAGTGTAGGCCAGCCGCTGGCATGGTGGTTAAGGCAGCCAGATAGCAGGGACCCACAGATGGTGTAACGGCTATGGCGCTGGACTCCCGTGTAGTCGACTGTGGTTCGAGGCTTAAACTCATGCGGACGCGTGTGCATGCGTGCCCAAGATCCCAAGAGGAGAA